CCGACCTGTACGCTCTCACAGAGTGGGTCTCCTCAGGGTGCCGTCAGCCAGACAGTGCCGGCTGGCGACCCCAAGGGGGAGGGCCTTCTCTGTGGGAGCCCCCACCCTCTGGAACGAACTGCCCCCAGAGATCAGGGTGATCCCTGATCTCCCTTCCTTCCGCCGCGCCCTCAAGACGTGGCTGTTCCAACTAGCGGGAGTGGCCTGAGGGATTTTAAAGGGGCTTTTAATTACTTTTAAATTGGACATGTTAAATATTTCGTTTTAATCAAATTTTAATTAAGTATATGTATATATGTTAGTATTTTATTCAATTGTCAGCCGCCCTGAGTCCGTAAGGAGAAGGGCGGGATATAAATGCAATTAATAAATAAATAAATAAATAAATAAACAACTGTGGCAAAAAAGGTGGAAAATGAGGCAAAACATATATGTGGCTTAGCAATGGAAATTTTGGATTCAATTGTGGTTGTAAAAGATTATCTGTACTTCATCACTTATGGTGTGCTACATTTCTACTGTTCACTTCAAAATATAGCATAAAAGTGCCAGACAAAGGAAATTGCACTGGGAAAGAGGATCTATCCCAAATGAATATGTAGTGAACTGTAAGTTTAATTATATATTCTTTCAATGCAAGAGTTGGACAAAGCATGTTCAAACATGGTGCAATGGACTCCTGGCTTCAAGTATTGTTTTCCATAATTTGTGTTGCTGTGAGAAGTTAAAAGCTGGGGACGAGCTCCTCAAAGTAACAGACAAGCGACTTTCGAACTTTACTCGTTTTGCCCAACCTGCTCCCCTTCAGATATTTTGAAATTCAACCCATCCCATTTCCAAACGCCCTGAGGGTTCTGGGAGTTGTAGTCCCAGAACATAGGAAGGTTGGAGAAATCCTATTCAGAATGGGAGACGTGTGTAAACCCCAAACGGTTGTGCCTGAGCCATGTTTCGTTTTGTTTTTCCTGTCAAATCCTCATAGCATCCCCCGCCCTGCGCATTATTATCAGTACTGTATCAACATATTTATTTTTCGTTCTCATTTTTAATTAGATGCTTCTTCCGTCTGGTGGGAGGGATTATTTTTTCTCTGGCCAATTAGGACCCTGCCCGCTTTGTTTGAATAAGAGGATTAAAAAAGCTTCCCTCGTTGGCCACTTTGTCATCGTCCATTGGCTGCACAGCCACCTCAATTGCGATTTCTTACCTGAGCGCATTTCGGCCACACTTGTATTCTATTGGCAAAGCTTCCCATCACTCGAACAAACTGAAACCCGCCCCTCGTCTAGTTCCTTCTTACAACCGTTAGTAGATAAACCATCTTCCCTTTAAACGCCACTTTGCCTAAGCGTTCATATTCAAATTCCTCCAATCAAGCTCCATGACTCCGCCTCCCCACTACGCCTATCCCCATTGGCTGCCGACTGTCGCGGACATTGGTTGTCAACGGTTCTCAGCGAGGAAAGGACCCAAGAAGGGAGGGGGGTGGACCGGACTCCCTCCGTTCTAACGGGCCTGATTGGGTAGCCGGGGTTCTAAAGGGGTGTGGCTGATCTTGACCGAGGGTTATAAAATCGTTTGTTGCTCAGGGGCCACCCTCATTGAAGTGAGGGTGGCAGAGTTGAGTTGGGGGGGGGCGGGGAAATTATCATAAAAATATACATTTGCAAACTTCCTAAACAAGAAGATCCAGCATCCATTCAGTGGGGACTGTCTGAACCCCCAAGTCAATTAAGGATAGGTTCCTGATCAGAAGGAATCTAAGTATCGATTAAGGCGCGTATGTGAGCCCTCCAAAGATCAGGGTAAATAGCGCTACTTTGCAACCTCTGTGCAGACCCAACACAATGGTGAGTGGCTTTTAGTGCTGCGTGTCCTTTCCTTGCCCACTTGTTTGAAGTTTCTGCTTGGTCTCTGGGACTCCCCAGAACTTGGGTGAGTTTACATGGGTAACTTTCGGGATGTGAGTAAACCTTAAAGGATGGTGAACTTAAACTTCTTTCCCAAAAGCAGAATCTGGAGAGCTACATGGTTGTGCTGCGCAGGCACACGTGTAAGTGCAAAAAACCAGTAGCATGGAGTGAGTGTCTTTCTGTGCCTGGGTTCTACTGCTACTGACTAGGGACCAAAATCAAGTTGCTTTTTGCAAGATTTTTTTGGAGTGTGATCTTTGGGCTTTGAGCATTAGATTTCTTACACTGAAAATGTGTGAACTGTTATCAGAGTTTTATTTTGGAACAGGATGGTGTCTTTCAGTACTTCTCGGTACTGTATATTGGATGTTAAATTGAGTCAATGATTGTAGGGTGGGATAGAAATAATACGGTAGTATTGCAGGAAGATGGACCCAAATACTGCATTTTGAGATGTGGCATGGCCTTCAGCCTTTCTGAATGTTCAGTTAAAATTTTAAATCTCTGCAGCTTAAGTTGTTTGAAGAAGGTTAAAGTTTGGTTTAGACACTATGGAGCGTCCATGAAATATGTCACATTTCAAACCAATGGTTGAAATTACTTTGCTTCTTTATTTCTTTGTTCTAACTTTATTGCCCCCTCCAGGCTCTTCTCCTGAAACATGAAATGTGGCATATCTTATGGTTAGTTCTTATGAAAACTTATTTTCTGGAGACTAGAGGATGATATTTTAAAAAACCACTAATACTTATACAGGAAAGTAGATTTCTAACCACTAACTACATAAATAAGCTTGATTTTTTCTGGAATGCAGTGCTATTAGAAGCACAGCTTCTCTAGCATATCTTTACTGATACACAATATCATCTGAATTTATAAATGTTAAAGGGTGTGCATTTTTCTTTTTGTTTGGCAGGCATCTAAGTAGCTGCACGCTTTCTTCCTGCCAGATATGAGAAGATGCCCCTTTTCTCAAAGAGGAATATTCCATGTTTGTCAACTTTTTCACTCGTTAGCACAGTAAATGTGGATCGCAGTAATCAAAGCTGTGAATTTTAGTGGTTTCATTAACAATACTGTTTTAAGATCAGTCTTTTAAAAGTCTTTTGCTCTGATTTCAGCCATTTAGGCCTTTAGCTCTCTTCAGTGCACAGTTGTGTTTGTGTGCACTGTTCCACATATCCTTTCAAATATTTTCTCTTGGTATTTGAATCTGCACAGTCTCTGGTTTTTTGCATGCTTTCAAGTGTATTTAAATTTGGCCTTTTCTCAAGGGGTCAGTCTTGGTAAGTAGTATATGGGAGTGGGTGGGGCGGACACTGAAGATTGAAGGTGGCTGTGGGTCAGGTCAGAACTAAGATTCTCTGCTAACTTCATCTCCGCCGCATTCAGATTTCATTGAACAATTTTTTTAAGTGTGTACAAAAAGGGGGGAGGGAAATGAAGCATTTTTCTTGTACAGGTAGTCTTATTTAGCATCCACAATTTGGCCCAGCAGCTTGGTCGTTAAGCAAAGCAGCTAAGTGAAACCATGACCATGCTTACAATTTTATTTCAACTTTTCGTTGCTTTACAGATTTGAGAAGTAAATGCAAGGATTGATCATAAAGTAATTTTGTCATCACTGTCCCAACTGAACTGTTACTAAACGAGGACTAACTTTAACTTAAAAAGTTTTCTTGGCTTATGTAGGCAAACTGGGAATGTTAGGATAGGAAACCACAACAATCTTGCCTGAATGCTTTGTATTATCCTTGCTGGAATTGAGCTTACAGTATTTTTGTCTTGCGGTTGCTCCCAAGAGATAGCATTCTCATAACATCCAAAATTATTCTATTTCTGTTTATACACCTCATAAGTCACTGACATAAGACAGGTGCAGACACTTCTATCATCATTGGTTATAGATTGTTGTACTGTGACATTTTTTTTTATAGTTGGTCTCTGAGGAGAATCAAATTTTGTGGGCACAAAAGCTTCCTAAGGAAAACAGTAGCTTTGTGGAGCATCCTTTTCAAGTGTCAAACTCTGTATTAAGGTACTGGGTAATTAGTAATTCAAGGCCCCAAAATGTGTGCAACTCTAGTTACACTTCAGCAAAGGGGTATTTTGATGTACCACCCACAGTTATTATATTGTCAAAACGCAACCTAAGGGGATTTTTAATCAAATTTTTAGTCCGGGTTTTAGGGGGTTCCAGAATTAACTCAAATTAATTCTCCCAGGCCGGCTGAAGGCCTCGGCGAGGTGGGCGTAGGTCCTGGAATTGGGGAGGGGGGAAGGGTCTGCCTAATAGAGGGCAATTCCATTAAGACTGTGTATGGGAGGGGTAGATATGGCGGGAGCAGAGGGCCATATCACACTAGGGGAGGGCGCACCCGCTGTTTAAGAGCTGTGGCGCGCTCAGGCCCCCATGGCTCTTCTTGCAACCTAGGGGGTTTAGGATCTCAGGGCCTGGGCTTTCGGCTGATGCTGTGTAACGCCAGGTCCACGGTTAATAAAGCCCCCCTCATTTATGATTTGGTATCGGAGGGGGAGGTGGACCTGGCGGGTATTACGGAGACCTGGCTGGGCCAAGAGGGGGGGGTGCCCCTCATTGAAATGT